GGCCGATAATATCGGAGGGCCGATATTATCGGACATCCCTACTTTTTAAAAGTAATGGATATAGTCCAACATGAGCATAGAATATCAAAGCTTGAGAAGTGGTAGAGTGAGGAAGTTTGTTGAAAAATGAAATTCCCGGCAACGGGGGAATGTGATACCTTCGTTCTTACCTTCCTCCCAACCCTGGGGACTTCCTGCCTTCTTTTCGTTTTTCTCGTTTCTTTCCTCCCGCAGGTCTCCGTCAGCCACTATGCTCCATGTGAACTCTGGGGTACTTTCCAGGTGCTGATCACAGGTTCTGCCAGGACATTGGTGATCTGGTAAAATAAGAAGCATTTACATGTGAAGATGCATCTTTGGCAGGTATATTGCTCAAATGTACACAAAGAATATCATAAGAATGAATGAGTATCAATAGGGAAACTCTTCAACAATAATTTAAAAGAAGTTTCAACATATATTTTGAAAAGGGGTTATCATAGCGCAATTAATAAACACTGAAACTAAAGTGAATCTTGAAGCCTTTACTAGAATCGTATTAATCCAAATCCATCAGGAAAGAAAACTGAAAGCACTAGCAAAATACTTTTATAATTGCTTAAAAAATACGAGGCAAAGATGATTGAAAAATAAAACACAGCACAAACATTTCAAAACACCTTGTTCAGTCTGATTAGCAAATGAAACTTTTAATTACATACACTGCCAGGGGAAAAGAGGTGTTCAATTAAATACCTAATGTTGCTGTAGCCATAATTTTTGTCTTTTTTGATTGAAAGTCCAGTTACGACAAACAAGGTACTGCCTTCACTACAGTCTAAACAGACTCAGTAGTGTTCAAACTGTTGCTGCAGAATCTCTGACTGCTAAATATACAGCTGCATTCCAGATTTGTCTACACCTGTAAAGGACCAGACAGAAAAGGTAACAACAGGTTCAGGGAGGTAAAACCTTGTCAGTTTGGATATTTTTTTTAATAGCCTCATACTTTCGGCTGCACAACATTGTGTTGTGTCAGCCCATGAAGCAAGAAGTAACAGCTTTAATAACAGCCCAACTCTTGGTGCAGGGAGCTCACTTTTTCACTGGGAGGAGGGGAGGGGGTTATACAAATGCAGTGTTGATGTAAAAATTGCTGCTGTCAAGAAAAGGGCTGGGTGCAATAGGAGTTAAGGTATTACTGCTGTAATACCCTACCTAAAAATTTGCTCAGAGAGTAAATGAAGGGTTGGCTCTCCTCCCCCTCATCCTCTCTCTGTCTCTATCTTTGCCTCCATCTGTCCTTCTCTCCCTGTGGACACACCTAATGTAGAGTCATCCCTGTGGCTTGGTAAATCGCTCTTTGAGGAGGCTTGGTCACTTTCAAATGACTTCTCACACTAGGCTCTGGAAGAGAGGAACTAGAGTGCTGTATAATCATCTTCTCTATTTACCAGTTTCCTCCACAATTTTGCTGTTGTACAATAACACAAAACAGTGGTAAGAGTCAGGCTGGGTTTAAGAGTGGTGGAGTCGGTCATAGCCATCAGTACTAAATCAGTAAGTACATGTAACTAATACTCCATTAATTATCACATTAAACCTGTGAACACTGCAACGCAAACACTTCATTGAACACACTAATGCAGCAGACTGACAGTTGGTTAAAAGCTCACCATAATTAGCTTATCAACATTTCTGCACAATTGAATTGTGCATGTGAATGAATTACTGTGGTTTAAGTCACCAGAAAGCTCACAAAGCAAACGCAATGTTTCTAACAGGAGCGTGACTACAACTAATCATGTTATAGATCATAAATGAAACAATGTGAATCCATCAATGCAAAGAACAATAAACCTGACCAATGGCCCTCACATTTGTCACACAGTAGGAGTACATTCAAACTGGGATTTGAATGGGACACATAGCATTAGGACTACATATAAAGCATTTCTGTCAGGAACTTGAGGAAGCTTGATGTGACGTCATGGGCATCAACATGATGAATAATATACACTTAGCAGGGTTTTGCAAATCATAACAATACTTACTGCATAAGGTAGCGCAAAATCAGTGCAGTGAAATGTAGTAGCCAAGAGTTTTGATTAGTGAGGTAACAACAGTTTATTTGCTGCTTCTAGTGAATGCAGTCCTATGGTGGTGGTCTACCTCAGATAATATTTTGTCCAAACAACCAAAATCTTGAGCTTTTACTCTTAGTAAACTGGAATAATAACCTGATTATCAGACTGAAATGCCATATTGTATTCACTTCACTGAAAAGAGATGTGGACATCAATATAGAGGTCTGGAACCAGGTCAGAGCAGGTTAACCTACCCACTTTATAAGAAAGGATTCACAATAACAGACAACAAAAAAACATACTGAACCTTTTAAATGCAAAAGTCTTATTAGAACTTGTGTTTAGGGAGGCAATTCTATCATACTTAAAGGCAGATAATAATAATAGGCCAATGTCATCAGACCAATAAAGTAGCTTTTACCAGTACAGTGTTCATATATGCAGTGCCACAGCTACAGTATAGGGAGGCAGCATATCTGGGAAAACTTACTTTTCAGCATTTGTTGGATAGTCACACTGTGCTAAGGTCTTGGAAACATTCCCATATCGTGTCTGTCTCTAAGAAATCAGAAGCTATTTCACGTATTGATTTTAGAGCAAGAGCACACACTTCTTCTGTTTGTAAAAGTTTAGTTTTTACATTTTAGTTCAGCCTGTAAAACCCTGATACCATACTTTTTACTGCTAAGCCTGTACCATCGTAGACTTAACAGTGCTGTTGTTCTTTAGATAAAAGACTTTCTAATAGACCACAGAGAGAACGTAGCAATGTCACACAGGCCTGCTGTGTTTGATCTAATTTTCTGAGTTTTAAAATACACTAAAACTATTGAACTAATGTTATAATAGCGGTTCTCGAGTTTGTACAAGTCAGAAGACATGGTTTGGGCTGGCCTTCTGTACAAGGAAAAACCAGTAGCAAACTTTGTAACCCAGCCAGTCACAGCATGTTAAAACTGCGGTCAATTTTAAATATCTGGAAACAATGCTGAATGGCTTCTCTGCAAACACATTTATGTAGTTCTATAGTATTATACATGTTATTATTAGGGCTGCAACGGACGGATTCTTTTTAGTGTGACACAACGTGCGTCCCCTACAGTGTTGGGAGTAACGGCGTTTGCTCCTACGTGGTTGGTAATCGCGATTTAACGTATAACCGGCGTTTTTTTTCAGTAACGAAGCAATTAATGTCTTTTCCCATCGTCTGCAGCGCTGTTGACTTTGAACCGATACTCTGTTAGTCTGCGCTGCAGATGGGACGACTGTAGAACTGGGCGTTACGTATAGGTCACAATAGGCCGCCAGCAGTAGACAAGGGACGCGCGCGCCGCGTCCGAAATGAGCAAACGCCAGAAAAGCGAAAGATCGCCGCGCCAGACAAAAGAAGAAAAGAGATAAAAAACGGGAATTTATTATTAAAATTAATTAAGGACACGCGCAGAGACCTTCCCGCCTCGCCGCGCAGCAAATGGCGAATCCAATATAATGGTAAGCACGTTGCCTGCAGCAGGTTCTAGCGGCGTTCGACAACTCGACTGTGGCCTTCTGCCTGTGTGTCATCCCCCTCTCTCCACATACCACACCTTTCCTGTCGAACTCTTCAGCCTGTTAAATCCATAACAGCCTGCGCGCCACCAATCCACACAACCAGACCAACATTCATATTAACGCGAAAATACAGTGGATGCATGTGTACAATCACCTAGCCAGAAATAACGCGCTAGCCTACCATAAAGCTCTTGAAGTAATCACTTTATTTCTGGTGATGAACGTTTCTACTTTGGCTAATATGTATCAATAAATAAATGTCGTTTTTCTAAAAGGAACAATTGGTTTGTTATTATTTAAGTCGATCTTTTTCATTGTTATTAATCATGCGGCTTTAATTAAGCACGACAAAAGTATGTTTTATGCGACTCGATTAATCATGTACTTTGATAGAATACTCGATTACCAACATATTGGATAGCTGCAGCCCTAGTTATTATAGTTTGATGTTTGAAGTGCGTTTAATAAAGCAGCACTGTATATGGGGCTTTGGCTGTAAATATACTGACAAGGAAGGAAAAAAAAAACAGTAAATGGAAGAAAAATCTGTATTAACAGAGATATCCTTAATCCCCTTAAATATTTGACTGTACAATATTTAACATATATTATGAGATTTAGAACACAGTTTAAACGAGTTATCAGTGAATTGAGACGTTAGACTGAATGCTTAAAAGGAGCTTTACCTAATGAGGTGGCATCAAGGCTGCATTAGGTTTCCTTTAAATTACATGGCTGTCCACTTGAGGAGGCAGCTGCCTTCAGAGGAATCACAGCGGAAGTCGTTCCCAACCATTTAGTGCCAGTAAGGGTAATGGTTTTAGCAAAAAACATTGATTCCAGTAGCTCATCGCCACTGGGGACCTTGAGGGCTGATGAGATGTGGAGAAACTGAGAAGTTCAAGGTTGCAGTAAAAGCCCATTTCCTTTCATTCAATAAATGTCTATGTAGCATGGGTGGAATGACGCAGTGTGTTCAACTGACCATAAGTGGAGGCATTAAAGTTGCACTGAGCTGGGATCAGCAGTTATTTTGACTCATTTAGATTTAAACAAACACATTTACATTCCATACAAGAATGCATTGATTGTGCCATTCACCAGGGGTTGACAAAATGCTCATCAGTTTCTACTTATATTCAGCTACTTAGCGTTTAACGACTATTTACTTAATGTCAACCTATCTTGCACTGCCAGTCAGCAAACTGCCCAAGTTTTTACAACGAAACTTTGCTTGGACTCAAATGTGTATGTGTGCATGCATATGGGTATGTATGTTTCACATAGACACATTTGCATACTTACCACTCAAATAAAGTAACAGACATAAGTTTTAGAGCTGTCTCCTCACATTTTTCAACCCTCAGATATCATACCAATATTAATGCATGCAGAAACGCACTTGGCACACTGACGAGCTAAGCACTTCTGTGTGCCGCCAAATGAGGATGAGAGATATGATTCAACTGGAGAGCAAGATGTAGATCTGTCATCCAATTTCACCTACCTTCTGCATGTGCAAAGTGACTAAGAACTGATGACTTTCCAAATGACCAGGACATGGTGTTTACGGCCCATTCATTCCCAGTCACATATTAGATATTTTTTTTAAACTATAACAACCTCTGAATATGTAATCATATCCTTTTTTGACATTACTAAGCATGGGTTCATTTACCTTTTAATGACACCATTGTACA